ATGCATGTACGTATGCAAGTATGTATGTATGTATTCATGTATGTACGTATGTATGTATGTATGTATGTATGCATGCATGCATGCATGTATGTATGTATGTGTGTGTGTATGTATGTCTGTATGCATGTGTGTACACATTTCTGTATCTGCATAGACTGCAAAGGCCTGCCCAACATAGTTAGCTCCGAGAGTCTTTCAACACCTGGACCTGAACCTCCGCTCACCCACTCGAGCTAACAATAGGTTTAGGGTTTAGGGTTCAGGGTTTACAGCCACCCTACTCCCGCCCCGCTGTCGCGATGAAACCATTCTAGAGATGCTTTAGAACTCGATTGCAACTTTATAGCGCCCTTATTTGGCCTGTCACGCAGCCATGCAGGACATGACCAAAACAAGGCTGCAGATGACATAGGCCCTCACGGCTCGAGCTCAGGATTTGGAGTTTGGGATTTCTTCAGGCATATCTTACAATAGTACTATGTTGTTAATTTTATGTCACATCATATCACATCATGGTTCAGTATATTGTAGCAGTATAGCATATCGAGGAAAACAGGGGTTGTAGGGTTCAGTGTATGGGATTTAGGATGCAAAGTTTAGGCGCAGACAGGGGGCCCGAGAGGGAGTCTTGTTTGTTGCTGAGCAGTGATGCCCTTCAGTTCAAGATGGTCGGTCCGAACTATGTAGCAAGGATCCTCCCACGTTGAGTCTTCGTGTGGTTTGGGGTAGTTGCCGGGTAGTTTGCAGCACGCACACGAGCTCAGCTAATGTAGGGGCCTAAATAATTACCTATACTATTATGGGCGTTCCCTATTTCTATTAAAGTAGAGTGGGGCCCAAAACCCTATTCTAATCACTAAGGCCCCTGTACCAATTCGGTTTCTTGGTTAGTGTTGTTTTCCGCTTTGGGCTGTCGTTTTCAGGTTTCCAGCTCCGGAGCTCGAACAGAACAAAGCACGATTTCCCAGGCAGGTATCAAGAAGCGGAGATTCGTAATGTAGGGCCTTATAATTATAGTATAGATGGCCCCAAAACCCTATTCTAATCTTAGAAGGGTTTAGGGCTTGAAGGTTTCGGAGTTTAGGTACACCAGGGTTGTTGAGGCTAAGGGTTTGGGGTTCAAGAATGAGACAGGCCAAGCACAAACCCTAAGCCCCTTACAAAGCTCCTCAACCATAGATACCCATAGGCCCCATAGTGGTTCTTTTTGGGATTACCTAACAGGATCCTAAATCTAAGCCACAAAGAGGAACTACTATGGGGCCTATGGGTAGGTCAATTCCTCAAGCCCTTGACGCGAACGCCCGTAAATCGCTAGAGCGGTGAAGCCGCAATCCCCAGCTCCAAAATTGAGAAGCTTTCTTACAGTCCCTAAGCGGCTTACCCCATATATGCTGAATTCCCTCAACCATTCCCTAAACCCCTGGTATCATCATAGAATTCATACAGGGAACCCGAAAAAGTAGGCCTTCGAGCCCCCATTCCTTCAGGACAGGTCAGATTGCCTCGGAGATCTTGAACATTGGCCTCGGCGTCCGGGAGATCGCGCAGCCCCACAGGAGCTTTGAGTTTGGGGCGAGGTTTACGGGTTGCCAGGGTTCTGGAGTTCGTAAAATTAGGGTCCCTCTTGAAGGGGTTCCTGAAAGGGATCTATTGCAGGGTTTCTATAAGAGTGCTGGGCACAATCAATCCCAATGTAGCTTCCGTTGGCATTGGTGCGAAGCCCCAAGCTCCATGAAGGCATAAAAGAAACATGTAAGTAAATCTAGTTATATATATGTATATATATATATGTATATATATATATATGTATATATATATATATAATATGATATCTACGATCATGTGTGCTTGATCTTGTCACAGCATGGAACCTGCCATCCAGAACTGAATTGCAAGTAAGTGCTCTTGTTATTGGGGCTCTTAAACATCAACTGGGGTTCTGCTTCAGGCTTCCCATTCTTGGGCACAAGGTTTCATGTGGCTTAACGATCATGTGGGAGGAACTCGCACCTACCTTCGTGCCAGCTCTGGGATTCTGTGCCTGTCTCTGCGGCTTCGATAATTCCAGATTGCACCACGTGCCCGGAAGTGATGCGAGTGTGTACTTATGTATGTACGGGCGAGTATATATGTAAGTGTAGAGATGTATACATACATATACACGTGTATGTGTGTATATATATTTATATTTATATTATATTATATTTATATCGAGAGAGAGAGAGAGATAGAGAGACAGAGAGAGGGAGGGGGAGAGGGAGAGGAATTGCTGCAAGCTGTCGCATAATCTCCGAGCCACTGTAGTCACTGTCGTGTTGAAGGAAATTCAGACATGCACAGTTGCGGTTCGGCATTGTAAATAGACATGCTGTCGGTCTCTTGTACTGATAGATCATGCTGTTTCGCCAGCACGGCAGATCGACACGAGTTGACGTGTACTTCTTACCGGTATATGTCTTGAGATTCAATAGCCTATCATCACATGATTCCGCGTTCTGCTGCCATGTAGGCCCCACAGCACGGCCAGGGTGCGCAGCCACAGCTAGTTGCTTCCCACAAAACCCTTCGACGAACCAACCGTGGACGCTGGGACCCCTGTCACCCAAAAACGTCTGTGTTAAGGCTAATCTGCCTAAACTTGTATCCCCCGAACTACATCCACAGCCCCAAACCTACAATCCCTAAACCCGTATACCATAAACCCAAAGCCTAAACGATCAACCCTAAAGCCCAAAGCCCTTGCATCCACAGTTTGGAGCCCAGGAGCCGCCAGGCCCTGCAGTGCTCAGTTGGGTGGTGCACTGCATGAGATGGGGGGGAAAGAAGGGAGCGGGCAAAAAACACTGCTGGCTTTCTATATCCTAGGGATTTAGGATTTGCAAGGGTGTGACATGCAGAAAGCAGTCCTAGTGCAAGGATGTCGCGCAGAGACGGTTGCAACCATTACTGGACCTATCCAGTCCGACAAGCCCGACAAAAAAGAGACAGCTACGTGTGTTTCTAAAGCATAAGTGCACCATGGAACTGAACTCAGATGCAACCTTCCCGGCTACCTCAGTTTGCTGTGCTCATAGGTAACATAAGTTCGCAGGTGCAGTGCAGGACTTGGAGTGCGTCATCGCTATTTTCACCAGCAGCAACGCTTGTTTGTTTATCATCTTCGTCATGCTCATGACAATGTTGGTGCGAGGACCATAGTCCTCATCACTATTGTTATCGGCCTCATCGTCCCGAGCCTCATTTCATTGCCAGCTTCACAACAGCAGTGACAGCTCTATTGATCATGCTAATGTTCATTGCCATCGTCATTATCTCAGCATCAGCATCAGCATGACCAGCAACGCTATATTGAGCACCTCCATTACAGACTTCATCCTCAGCAGCATTCTCAGCAGCTGCAGCAGCAGCTGCTCCATGATGTCCTTCGCAACCACATACGGAACCCGAATTAGCATCAGCCTGAATACAGTTATCCCCTACACTAACATCATTGCATTCTGTCTCATCACTTAAGGCAGAAGGTTTGAGAAGATGTGTTCGTACTTTTGTGCCCGGCAGTGCAAGAGCTGTGAAAACAGCAGCCCGCGGCACGCTGCCTTGGTTGACAAAGGGCTCAACAACTTCGTATACCTTTCAGGATATATGGTTCTGTCAAGTGCAAGCAGTGATCAGGAACAGACTGCCCAGTTTCAACTGATGCGTGCGTGCCCAGTCCCAATTGTCTCAAAAAGACATGTCTCACAGGTGTCACAGGCAAGCAAGCTCTGAGTCGAACTCATTGCTGCGGCAGGCCACTCACATTGTTGTTTCGCCTCCCATCTGTTCCTTACCGCGGTTGGCCATCAACAATTCTGGCTGCTTTGTTTCATTCTATAGCCTGGTCAGCGCGGAAACGGTCTTGGTTAGATTCAGGGCTGTCAAGGAGGCGGTGACAGCACAGAGTGTACCGTGCGACTGCGCACGGTGGAAGCCCTAGCCACACACCGTGGAAATCTGCAGCACGCCCGATCACCTGACAGTGTGACAAGTTTTTGCCGAAGCAGGCAGCCCGCCAATGTTTTGCATGC